ACATATGCCAAGTTTGATTGAAATGGAAGAGTTACACTAGCACAAAATAGCTCTTTTCCACCCCCTCCCCTCACATTTTAATTTCAGTTTTGAATAAACTAATTTTTGTCATAATGCAATGAACTTGTTCTTCATACCTTACATCGTAAAATCACGTATTTAGCCATAATAACACTTAAAACAACTGAAAAAATTGAAATGTTGAAATGGGGGAGTAGAAAACAGCCCACAAAATGATTTTCTTTTGATCGATGAAGTGTGCTAATGAGGCGTATGAGAGCAGTGAATACAGTAAGAATTTCCCGAAACCTCAGTTAGCCTGGTGTAACAGACCCTATATTCAAATGAAATCATTTCTCTTAGCCAAAACCAAAGATGTTTAGCTCCAGTATATTACTTCTCATTCTCTTTCCGAAAAATTTTCGGATGCAGATTTTGATAAGTATGCTAACTTTCGCTAAGGGTGTTTTCGGCTCCGCGTGGAAAAAACAGGATTAGAAACTCTATTTAATTCATGACATTTTTGTCAATACATTAATCACCAATCTGAATCGGAATCATAATCTTTATTTTTCGCCAATTTTAGCAGATCTCGTTTGTAGTTCACATTTGCATTGTGATTTCGATTGATTTTCAGCATTTTATTGTTTCGGTTTGCTCCTATGCAGAAGTCGGTGTTTCTTTTTTCGTACCATTTTGAAGAATCAGTCTTTGCAATTCTTGATAATCTGAGAGAGTTTTCCAGTTTCAGCTTTTCCTCTTCCTGCTGAAGAAGTTTCAATTTCAGCGTCATTTCCTCCACTTCAAATTCAATAGCTTCAAGTTTCTTTCTTTGTTTTTCCTCTAGATTTCCCTGGATTTTCAGTTTTCTCTCGCCCGATTTGGGACGATTTGAGCTGCAGAAAGTCACAACTGGTTTGTCAAAATGGTCATTTTTTGTTTCCAGGAATGATGGAAAGCTCCAAGAATTCGTGCAAATGCAACAATCTTCGTCATCGCAACTTTCGTACTTCTGGGACCTGGTGCAAATGCTTCTTGACTCTTCTTTAGGAATGTTGGTTGCAGAAATAAGGTCCAGATCCACTGATTTTGATAAAAAACTGTAATCAAACAAGACATTTGGTTTTGAAAAGCCTGTGTCATTTTCGCTTGTCGTTGTTCGGTTTTTGACACGACTAGCCGAGGGGCTTTTGTACCTCCAGTTATTATATTTCTTTCTCGGTTTTTCCCTCGTCTCAGTGTAAAAAGAATTACTGCCGGTGACTTCAAGCATTGCTATAAGCTTACCGATCGAAAATAAAATCCTTATTTTAGCGCTCTGAATGTTTTCGATAAAAACGCACGACTATTTTGCGCGTTTTTCTGTTTTTTTTTCAAAGCTGCGGTGAATACAAAACGAGTATCTTTACCATTTTCATTATTTAGAACACTTAAGCTTACTAAAGAATCAAGCTCTAACGCATATCAGACAAAGATTTCCGGTATAAACTCTAGCTAGCATCACATAGAATCAGTTAAAGAAATGTTTCATCGCCCGCATCCAGTTTCAGGCTTTAATAATCACCAGTCTTACAAAAATTGAGAAATAATTAATTTTAATCAATTAAAAATCGATTATAATCTCTTTTTTTGAAATCAAATATAATCGATTAAAATACATTATAATTGATTATTATCAATTATTTTTATCCGAATTTCTAATTCACTTTTTTTGTAGAAAAATTCATTCTATTCGATGTGCCTGCACAATTGGCTACTACCTAGGGAGACCGCTACGTCATAAAACAGCCAAATATGTTTAGTGGGCTAGTTTCAAACAAATTATGTCGTTTGGGTTGTTAGAATACATCATTGTTTCTAAATTACTATAAATTCTCGCCTAAAGTTTGCTCTATTTTATGTTTTGTTTTCCATAAAGAAACTACGCAAGATAGTTTGTACAAAAGTAGAGAAACTCTAAAACAACGTACAATTTCATGATAAAGTAATAACTTTAAAGTGAACGAATCGTGATTTCAAAACGACCAACCATTCAGTCGGGACACGAACAATCTAAAAAGGAGTCAGTTACTTTTGACAGAAAAGAGTAGTTCTTAAAGTTGTAATACATACTAAATAATTGAATGTGTAAAATTGTAGTAAGATTCCATACGATGCAGCGATTTACATTTTTTCTTGGTAACTCATTTTTTTCTGAAGAGACTTATTTTTTAAAATTAAGTTTCCGTTGAAATTCAGCATAATTTCAGAAAGTTTCAACAATTTTTCAGTTGCATAAGAATAGATATGTAAATAGATATTTAGATTTTCATTAAGTAATAACTACAAAATCGTCTTTAACTTGAGATAATGGGGGATTAGCAGATTTTGTATGTAGTAAAAGTCAGTATAGCCTTACCTGCGTCTTTCATCATAACCTTTTTTCTGACTTTTTTATTGAGCTTTCTCTTATCCCTCAAATAGTTGTTCACCATTTCAATAGTCAATTCCATTTGCTTCCGTTTTCATTTAAACTTTCATTGTGAATTATCTGAGCTGTTTTTCAAATAGTGAATTTCGGAGTTATACTAACTATTATATTTACTTTTCTTTCACAGATTTTTAAAATCTCGGATGACCCGCATATCTAGATTTTTTTCGATGGGTGTTATGTGGACGGGTTTTCAAAATGTTGTTCTATACAGATTGCCCAATTTGACTTTTCAAGCTCGCTCAAACAGCTGAAAACACTATTTTTTTTGCTATTTTATGTTATTTATCGCATTTCATTATTGCGACGAGTTATCGTGCGCCGTGAATTCTTGCCTGCAACGAACTTTCGCCGGCAACGAATTGTCGCCAATTCGTAGCAAGCAAAAATTTCTTGCAACTACGGAAAGGTGACAATTCATCAGGTAAATATCAGCTCACGACCGAGTTGAAGGTTTCACTGGTAGTATTTAGTATTTAAAGACTTCTACTAGCAGTTTTCAGTGAACGAAAACAATTTTAGATTTTGTTTTCCAGATAAACGTCTATTATTGAGCAAATTCATCATAAATAAATTACTTCATTTTGAACTTCGAATCAAGTTTTTTTCCTCCGCCTCAAAGTTGGTATTCGGAACGACTCATGGCAGGGTTCGATCATGAACTTTTCTGTCAATTTATGTCAAATAACTTAAAAAAAAACGCTGTGCAATTGTGGCCATATTCAAAATTATTCTGAAAGATGCTAATTTGATCTTTTAGGGCGGAGAACAGTCAATGAATTCTGGCAAAAAATATTGAGGCAAGTTGTCGTAACATTCATCATTTCCCCTGGTATGAGCCATTTTTTGTGTAATCTTTTTATTAGGTAGTGGCTACAAAGTTGTCTTTCACTGAAGAGAATGGGATATTAGCAAATTTCATAATTGCAACTAGTTACCGCGTACTTTGAATTGTCGCCTTAAACAAATTGACACGAATTCGTAGCAAGCAAAAATTTCTTGCGATTTTGGAAAAGCGACATTTCATTAGACAAATATCAGCGAACACCCAAACTGAAATGTGCCCTAAGTCTTCTACTAGCCCTTTCCAGAAAACAAAACTTTTTTTGATTTTTTGCTTTCCAGACAAACGTCCACTATTGAGCATTTATAAAAAAATATATATATATATTTTTCATTTTAAATGTTTGATTCAAATTTTTGTCCTCCTCCTCGAAGTAAGTGTTCGGAACGATTCTTGACAGCGTTCCAACAAGAAATTTTCCTTCAATTAATGTCAAATAACTAAAACAAATTGCTGTGCGGTTGTGATCATCTTCAAAATTATGCTGGAAGATGTTAATTTGGCCTTTTAGGGTGTAGAACAGTCAATTAATTATGCCAAAAAATATTGAGGCAAGCAGTTATACCTTCATCATTTCCCCTGGCTTGGGCAGTGTTTCTTTGTGCAGGGCTGTATTTGATGGTGAAATATAAAGTTGACAAACATCTTACAGCAGTTTTTGTAAATTTTTGTTTCTTTTACATCAAAGTCAAGAAAAATAGAAAACTGTTTCTCAAACAAAATAAAATTACATAACAAAACTGTTCCACCGATCTATCATGGTGACATTTTTTCAAATTCAAATCACTCAAAATAAAAATTAAAATAAATGCAAATTTGGATGTTGAATTTTAAAAATGTCTGTTTTAAGATCAAACTTATTGACAATATCTGCTGAGACTTTATTCAATACAGTGATGATTTGAATAAACAGGAAATAACGAACCACCTTGAGAACTTTGAACGCATTTTTTTAAAAACTGATTTAAGATTAGACACAAAAACTTAAGAGAAAAAAGGCTTAAAATTTTACCAGAATTAATATCATGCAATTTTCGCCTAAAATTCTAAACCAAAATTTTGTGTTGGGCTGTGTAAGAAACAAATTGACATCTTTTCCAGGTAAACGTTTAGTTAAGAAATTCTAGAAAAAAATTGCACCATGCAAATTCTGGTGAGAGGAAATGAACTGATTTGTATTTGGACTTGAATCAATATTTGGTTAAGAGGACCATCACTTTATTCCGGTTTTTAAAAACACCCTTGTTTCATCATTTTCAATATGGTAAGTGGTACCAAAGTTATCGAACTTTAAGACGCAAATTTTAAGTCAAGTTTAAAAAGTCTTAAAACTAAAAAAAATAAAGCTGATTGCTTATTTTAGCTTGTTGATTAGACTTTACAGTGCAAAAACAACTTGTCAGCTATCAAATGGTCATGTGAAATTACTGCAGCTAGTGAAAAATGGCATTTCCAGACCCGAAAAAACTTTTCAAGTTTGTGGATCTAAAGTTTGATAAGTTTGGTAATTTGTCAGATAGTTTGATCTGTGGGTCAGATGTGAACAAATAATGATATCACTTCTTCGCAAATGTTGTTCAAATTAGTTTTAGTTACTATAGGGACTGCAGAGCAAAAACGTAAAATTTTGTTTAACTCTGTTCACTACCATAGAAAAGTTTCAGCAATTTTTCTGCAATTTACAAATTTTAATCCTATATTCTTTGACATTTAAGCACAATTTAAAAAATCAATTCATCAGCATTCTTTTATTTTCACCATGTATCAGTTATTGCCAACTCTGTTTTAGTTGGCAATGAACCCATAATTCGCCTGGGGGCCAATTCCTTTTGCATTGGGAGGAGGCGCTTCGTTCTGTTCTGGTTCTAATTGTTGTTGCTGATGATGTTGTTGTTGTTGTTGTTGTTGTTGTTGTTGTTGTTGTTGTTGTTGTTGCTGTTGTTGTTGTTGTTGTTGTTGTTGTTGTTGTTGTTGTTGTTGTTGTTGTTGTTGTTGTTGTTGTTGTTGTTGTTGTTGTTGTTGTTGTTGTTGTTGTTGTTGTTGTTGTTGTTGTTGTTGTTGTTGTTGCTGATGTTGTTGTTGGGGCTGATAGTCCTGAGGGGCCCCATAGCCCGGTTGAGCAGCTGGGTATGCGGGTGGAGATTGAGCATACACCGGGTAAGCAGCAGTGCCGCCAGCTGCGCCAGCAGCATTGTAGTGAAGGACCACGCCATTGCTGGAAGCTGAGTTACCTGAAGACGTTTCAGTGCATGACTCTATGTTGTTGGAAATATTCTTTTCGGTTAACGAATACAAACAAAATTTGTAAAAATAAAGTTGCTCATTTTGACGAAGCAAACATCTTTTTACTCATTTCCAAGGAGAAAATTTCAAAAAACTATGATTATCCTAAAACGCAATATGTCGTGGTTGATTAAGAAGCTCATGTGACCATAATTGGCGCCATAAACTTTGTCGTGATTATACGTTAATGGTGGTACAACAAACAATGACGATGTGATGACGATAAAAAAGAGGGATAGGGGTAAAATTATGCTCTTTTCCCTCCCCCTCTTCCCCCTACATATCCTGTCAATTTGTTGTGTAACTAATGATTTTACAAAGTATGAGGACGATTTTTTTTCAAATAGCCTTATTATAAATTGCATTTTATAATTATCAATTTCTTTTATCAACCAGACAATGCTAGCAAAAACTTTACATGTAAAAGTTCGAAACTTAGGGGGGGGGGGGGGAGGGGGCGAAAATTGCTCAGAAAATTGTCCCGCGTACTTTTGATCACGCAGTAGACAACCAACACGAAGATTACTAGGCAAAGATAACATCCGAGGCTCGGTAAGATGACGAAAAACAGGATGAAGAGGAAAACGTCCCTAAAACAGAAAAGGAGATTTGGAATTACTTTTGAACCACATGATACAAGTAGTAGCAACATCTACTTTTAGTAGCAGCAACATGTAAAATTCATAAGGTGAACATCATTTCTAGTCCTAAAAACTCCTTAAATTTTGACCCAAATTAAAGCCATAATCTGATTCGAAGCTGCTTATGGCCTTAAGTGTTTTTTCGGCTCTTGAAAGTTTTATCTTTCAAGTACAATATCTTTTCAAATTTGAGCTCAGGACAACAATAGCTTTCGAATGATATAAGAAATTCCGTCAAAAATGGCTATTTAAAAAGCCGAAACTTGTCTGAAGAAAAAAAACCCACCCGAATACAAATATTCCGTTACTTTCATATCGAAAGTCGGAACAAAAAGACCAGAAACAACATGTAAAAATGGAAATCTCAAAATTGGGCGTCTCTCCAAATTACAAGTAATATCCGGTAACTAATTTTGTCTGCAAAAACTGCTGACAAGATATTTATTGTCAAGATAACTCAAAGACAAAACGAGTAAGTCGCTGGATTCCTCAATATTCCCCGTTAAGTTTGTTATTTAGGTCTCCGGATTCATTATTTTGTCTTTGTCGCTCGAGTCCACGATTTATCTTTGAATGTGAGCAAGACTGCTCGTATCAGGAAGCCCTGAGTGTTCCGACTGCGTTTTAAAGTTTATCAAGCAGTAATAACATAAATATCATTAACAAATTAAATGTAACAAAAAAATGAAATTTTTTTTTCTAAAATTTGAAAACTTTTCTATAAAAATCATCATCCCACGCGCCATATAAACTGTAAAAGAATAGATTGCGCTCCTTGTAACAAATCAATAATGGCAAATAAGCTTCTTTCAACCAATTTGGAACGATTTCTAAGACGGATTAAATTTCCGCTTACGCGTTAATAGCGCGAAATATATCGCGCGTTAATTGTCTCAAATTGGCCAAAATGGCAATCTTTAAACCCCCATAACTTTACGAAAAATGATCACAGGTGAAATCTAATTTCATATTTAAGCTCAAGGCAACAATGCCTTTTGAATGATAAAAAAATTCCGTCAAAAATGGCTGGTTAAAAAGTCGAAATTTGTCTGAAGAAAAAACCCACCCCGATCACAAATATTCCGTTATTTTCGTATCGAAAGTCGGAACAAAAAAGCTTGTTCTTCTTAGCTGAAAAATTTACAAATATGAAATTATGACATCCGATGTTTTTGCTGAAACTCGCTTCAACAGCCAAATCATTTTGTCAATGTGATCCAAAACAAGACGTGCAAGTCTACAAATCTGCATTTTCAGTGTTTTCTGATAATTTTTTGCTGTCCAAAATTCATTTTAACCCTTTATGTTCAATCATACGCCTGTAAAATCTATCAGATTTTGACTTGTAAACGTTTTCGAAATTCTGTGGTATTTGATGGAAATACTGAATCAATGACCGCGTCCAGACATTTCGGCCAAAGACAATGCAGCCGATTTGAAATTCAGACAATTCAGCCAAAAGTATGCAGACAATTCAGCCAGAGACAATTCAGCCAATAATAGGGACCGCCGCAGTCGTGCCAACGTGTTGCGAGCTTGCCAACAGAGGGTATGACTCTATACGAAATTTAGAGCCGGTTAACGAAATTTAGAGCCGGAGTTTTGTAAAACTGGCTGAATTGTCTCAGGCTGAATTGTCTGTATATTTTTGGCTGAATTGTCTGAATTTCAAATTGGCTGAATTGCCTATCGCCGAATTGTCTCTGCGCCTCAATGAAAATGTCTATTTAGCCCAAATAACTATCACAAAACCCGAGTTTGGCACGGCATTGAGATCAAAACATGCCACCCTTGAATCTAAGATACCCCGCTGAAAAACTTTTTAAAATATTGGATCCAGCTATTGTTTTTTTGTAACTATCAAACTACTCAACAATCTTTCAATAAGCATGAGTAAGTTTTGATGTATAAACAAAAGACCACATTCTAATTGAACGATATTCGAAGAAGCTGAAGAAGTTGTCAGTTTTTCAAAATAAAACCGACATTTTGTTAGCTGCATAGGACGTCATTTAATTATCACGTTGAACGTCTGTCGTAACTTTCGGGGCTTCGCCCTCATACGAGCGGTCTTGTTTGGCTTCAATTCATTTCAATCCACTAATCACAAAAAACCTATTTCAATCCACAAAAAAACCGATTATCTACGGAAAAATAGACAATAGATTTGACCTTTGTTTGCCAAAGGGTCTTAGATAAATCGGTTCCATACATACGTTGGATCATGTTAACTACCCCCCCCCCCCCCTCCCCTATTGCAACAGGAGGGGGGGGGGATAGTTAACAAGTTTTGGATGAAATTTATTGAAATAACGTCAACCAATAGGAATGCGACAGAACACATTTCTGAGAAATACAAATCCATTCCAGTTGAGCATAAAAGAATTGTGTTTTTATAGGGGGGGGGGGGAAGATTCTTTATAAGGTACCATAGGGGGGGGAATAGTTAACATGATCCCACTCGTTAATATGTTGATTTTAGTTCCGACTTTCGAACAAATTGGCGGAATAGTTGTGATCGGGGTGGGTTTTTTCCCCCATTACGAGGCCAAACTGTGCAATGGGTAGGCGCCCAATTTTATGTCTGCATGTTCCTGGATTCCAGAAAATCTTTAAAAATGTTCCAAAATGTAAATGGATTCAACTTACAAAATTTCTGTGGATTCCGCGTACAAACAACTGTAACCAAAAGTTTGTCGGCACATTTGTTGTGTCTCGGATTCCGCAACAAGCGAAAATAGGTAGTTGTTCTGGATTCCGCAACTGTAAGTGGAATCCGCAAATGTAAGTGGAATCTGCAAACTGTAAATGGGTTCCGAATTTTGTTTTTTACTGAACTTCCATATGAACAATTAAAAGCTAGAGCTGGTTTTCTTATCTTTAGCAATGCGGATTTGAAAAGCAAGGACCTAACCATTGTCAGCGTAACCCACGAACAAACCTTAAAACTTTGGTTAATCAAATCGGTGGATGCCAACTTTTAGTATTTGGGATACATCTCCCAGCAAACATTTTTTGGGATCATGATTTTGAAAATACTTTTGATTGAGAGTGTTTAGAAACACAACGCACAGCATATCGCCGATTTGTCAGTATTTGGGATTCCATGGATCCTTAAAATTGGTCAGTATTTGGTATTGATGGAATCCCAAATACTCGAATAATAGGGAATAAATATGGAATAAACTCTTTACTTGAAGTCTTTGGGTTGCGAGTGTTTAGAAACATAACGCAAAGCATATCGCCAAATTGTCAGTATTTGGGATTCGATGAATCCCAAAAACTGGTCAGTATTTGGGATTGATGGAATTCCAAACTCTGAAATATAATGGAATATATTTTTTTTTGGGGTCATTGGTTTGAGAATGTTTAGAAACACAATAGATCAATATTTGGGATTCCATCAATCCCACAAATACTGAAGCTGGGTGTTTGACAGGAATTGGGATTGAACGTTAGGCATTTCAACAGGTAGCTGATCAACGTAGTTGTTTAATAATTGGGATTGAACTTGCTGGTGACCAACTTGTAATTAAAAGATATAACTTTAAACGCTACTACATATATACATATATGTAAACGGAATCAGAAAACAAAATGCGAATTCCACTTACAATTTGCGGATTCCTCTTACAGTTGCGGAATCCGCAACAGCTCAATTTAACTAATGCGTCTTATTGTTTGTTTGTGGATTCCACAAACTGTTCTTGATTCCGCGAATTCGCCTATTTTTGGAGCGATTTCGAGCGCTACAGTTTTTTAGGTATTTGTTCTTGGAGTCCAAAACAGCAAAGAAGATCAAAGAAAAGTGGCAATGTTGCAGATTCCGCAACGAATCTGATTACGGCCTGTTACAGAATCCGCTTATAATGCACATATTGCACATTTTGGTCTCGTAATGTCCAGACAAAATTTCACAATTGACTAGCAGTTTTTGCTCTGAGCTCAAATTCAAAAAGATAATTTAACAGTGAATTTTTTCTGTGATTATTCAGCAGTCAATACTGTGGTGATTCAGCAGTCAAAACAATCAGGGTTTTGCCTGATACAAGCCGTCTTGTTTTTAATTGATTTTTATGCTTTTCTGTTACTATGGGGAGCAATTCCATTCGCATTTTAGTCTAGTGCAAGCATACTCACTTGCCAATGCCAAGACTTCCGAATCAATTCACGCTGTCAAAGTTCCTTGTAACAGTGGTCAGAATATAAAAAACCACCATGGCATTTTTATTCGTCACTTTTTTCGAACAATTACCAAATAGTACACCTAAAATTCGTCGAAACAATTTTCAAAAATTATACATAAGGGTACAATACAGAAGTTTGGACCAAAACTGTATGAGAAATAGTGCACTGGACACCTCTTATAAGTGCACTTCCAACCAGTGATGATTGAATTTCATGGACGAGTGTCTTAATGGACGTAAACATATATCATTGTAAATATGTAAAAAATTTGAGATTTATAATGCTTATTACTGTCATTTCAACTCATGTCATAGTAGACGCTACTGGGACAGTTTTTGTTAATACGTAACTCTACCGGATGAAAATGTTTTTTTTTCCCCTCAAAATCGAACAAAACACTTCGGCTTTTGAAAAAAAAGCTGGCTGTGAATTAAACTATAAATACAATTTGAAGTAGAACAAGAACGATCAAGCTATTTATTTGAAATCTACCACATACTTTAATATATTACCATATTTGTTTAAATGGGTTTAATTAAGGATAGTTAATACATTATTGTTCCGACTTTCGACACGAAAGTAACAGAATATTTGTGCTCGGGGTGGGTTTTTTTTTCTTCAGACAAATTTCGACTTTTCAACTAGCCATTTTTGACGGAATTTTTCATGCCATTCAAAAGGTATTGTTGTCCTGAGCTTAAATTTGAAAAGATACTTCACCTGTGATTTTTTTTTGTAAAGTTATGGGAGTTTGAAGGTTG